TGACGCCGCCAGAGAGCGACTTTTGAATACCCTCGAGGCCTAAGGAAGACAACCCTATATCCCTATCAGAGACGTGTTGGGTACCCGCGATCTCTGCTATATGCAGTCGATTTATGTGTTTCTGCAAATTTCTGGTATAAGAATTTAATTCGTTTGTCTTTTGTATCTCTTTATTAGTTTTTGTTTGTCTTGTCCCCCGTCTCGATGAGCCTCATCGTCGCCCACTGGTCACCATAGCCGGTCGAACTCCAGACGAATCTAGAACCGCACTACCATTCATACTGGCGACAACGCTCTGATGAGGCAACGATACCCTACTCCCAAACTCCTCCCCTTTTCCTATCCTTCGACAATGTACCCCTCTAACCTCGAGTAAGCCGCGAGTATCCGGCCCAACTCCTACTAGACATAGAATTAAGTGAATTTTGTTACAAACAAAGAACAATGAATTATCGGCTCCGTAAAGCTAACGCGATTGAGCCGACGAACTAGATAAAAATTAAAAAAAAAACAGTGGAGTATGGAAGAAATCCAGCAAAATGGTCCCGAACAGACAAGTCGACTCAAATGAGAATGATCCATGCCTTCGTCAAATGACTAAGCAACTGATATCACCCATTCGGAGGAGGTCCCATTTGATAGCGAATAGCTGCTTTTCTCATTTTCATCAAAAATGATCAAATGATTTTGAGAATTTACAGCACTGCTCCGTAAGCCTTCGCCTTGTAAAATTTTGGTCCTGGAAGCAGTCCGAAGTCGGCCTTTATATATGTGGGTTTCATCATCCATAGCTTGCACCCACCGGACTTGGTCAGCAGGTTGTCATGCAGCTTTCGAGCACGGGTTCTAGCCAAGGCATTCTGATTGAGTGATCGATTTGGTTGCCTACTGGCGTGGTATGCCTGTAAGCCTTCGCGGTAGCGAATTCGTTGCTCTGTATTACGGGCGGCATCATACTTTTTACTCAAATCGCTGATGGACCTCACGACCTTTTCATGGCGCTGATGGTTGGCAGTTCCACTCCGGTGTTTACTTTGAAGCTTCCTATCCGTCGTCAAGGTTTTCCTGTACGTTTAGAGCACGCGCCATACTGGCTAGGAAAATTCAACACTTTAGCCGGCTTGGACGCGTACCAAGATGGATTTTCCAGGTGACTGTGTACGATATTCTTTCTACGCTCCTCTTGCTTGGTGACTAGGAGCGCTATAATGAGCAAATGAGTTTGTTCCGTTACTAAGTGGGCCACGGTTTAAAGCGGTAATTTTTGACAGTTCAGGGATTTAACGATTCAGGGAGGTTTCAGTGAAAGCAACAACTACTGAGTTGATTACTGAAAACTCAGCTGCTTAAAAAACCAGTAAAATTTTACTGACTTCGGTTATCTAAACTCTGTGTGTATGGTACGAGGGTTACTCGTGAACATTACAAATAGAAATCTTTTGTGGAATAAAATTATTGACAACTATAACCAGGCGTTTTAAACATGCAAGGGAAACATGTCAGAAGGGTCTAACTCGAAACGTAAACAATGACTTGGATCGTCGGTTTCTTACGAATGGCAACACACCCACTCAAACTAACTAAATCATCTGACAGAGCAATGTTTGTTCTACGAGCTGGTGTAGTCAGATTCCGTGGGTATTTATGTTTCGAGTTATACCCTTCTGACATGTTTCACCTGATGTGACTGTGACTGATAGTGAGTAAATCGTGGAAATTTTGTACATTCGTTCGACACCATTATATTCGACTGTAACTCTGTGAAATGTTGAGTGCAACTTCATCGGTTCATCGCAATCGATTTAGGAATACGCATTGTAGAGAAGTGCAAGCAGAATTCATCATGTTACGAATCCCGTTGCTTAACCTTTGGCTTGAGAGGTATGGATGCTAACCACTACACCGCGGTCGTCCCCCCAGCTCTGACTGTTATTCGCTTCCTGAGGGCAATCATTATGATGGACATGACCCAGTGATGTGCCCAACGTTTATTTCCGAAACGAGGAGCTAACGGCCCTGGATGGGGTTAGTAATTTGTCAACGTTTTGAAGCTGTTGTTGTAACCCATCTTTTGAGTATTTCGTTAACAGTCTGATGATCGTTTCCCAGATGAAAAAAACGACCGATTCCGACAGAAAAAGTGAAGTCCAAATGCTACCTGAATCGCAATCTGGACTGAATCGGAAACGGGCTACCGGCCAGGAAGGCTCTAGCCAACTTGCTTCCGGAGATGTTTTGATTATTGGTGACATGCTGCCGGAGGAGGATATGGACTTTGGATCACGTTACGGTTTTCATAAGCTCCTGATGCTGAGTAAAAGCAACATCAAAGAAATGTTTCGGTAGCACCAAAAGCCAGCAAACTTGTCCGATTTCTTAATTTTTTCAAAATTTTCGTGTCCCTTCGAATTGTATTTTGTACTATGTAAGCATGTTGTTGTTTGATTGTACGAATGTTTTTATTTTATTTTTTCAAACGATTATTTTTTTCATTCGAATCATTAGTATATACATAATGAAACATTCGTAGCAAGTGTGGAAACGTTTCGTAAAATATATGAATGTTACGAACTCAAGGATTTTGGGAATCAAAAGGAAACTAGCTTCTTATATTTTTCGAATGCTTTTCGTAGCAGAAAACAAAGAATTAATTCGTTTCACAAACGAACGGTTTCGTTGTATGAACGAAATTTATTTTCAGTGTAAATCGTTTTTATAGTTTTGAATGGTATGCCATTAATTTGCTCGTGAAAGCAAATTTTCGGACGTCAATTAAAAAACCACACAAACAAGAATCACACAAACGGTGGTATACTGTCTACTTGTAATGCAATATCGAAATCTTCATCCTGTAAGGCTTGTTACAGTTACAACCATTAGTTCGCCAAACCATGCTCTTCTGAGGCTAAACTAACATTCCCATTCGAATCGCAGCAATGCCGTTTTTTTTCCATATATTGAACCCCATTGCAGGATCTGTCACATGCAAGTGAACGTCGTTACAAGCCTACCGATATAGCATCGCTTTACTGCACCTACTCCGGGTCCCCGAGTCCCTCACTATTTTGCACTGAATATTCCCACCGAACTGCAAACTCATTCCACCCATGTGCTTGAAAGTTAGCAAAAGGCAGACAGGGAAATCCCCTCACATCCCCACCCATCGTGTCGGTCCGTCGGTCACGGCTCTGCGATCCCCGTGTGCATGTGTTTGCATGTAAAAAGGGTTGCAGTCATCGTCATCGTTGACGATCATCGGTGTCGGGCATGTAACCCACTCCAAACCACGTTGTTGGTGGAAAACAGTTACTATGGTATTAGTGTAAGTTGGTGCTGCTGCTGGAGAATGCTGGAGTCCTGCCGTAGTGCATTTTCCCGAAAGGATTCTCTCGTTTTGCTTTGGTCGATGCAGGCGCGCGTGTGGTGCATACATTTACTGATAACACCCTCGAGAAGTTATTACGAAAGTGTGCATCGTATAGAGAAGTCCTTTTCAGGGTCAGTCAGTCTGACGTTTGTCGTCCGACGCTGGTGCTTATTTGATTTTGCGGTGCGAAAAGGTGCGTTTTTCGGTTGAAATTGGCGGTTGAGTGATGTGCTGCAGTGTTTGCCGTCGGTGGATTGTGCAGTTGATGAATTTTGAACGAACGGATTTCGAAGGCAAAAAGCTGGAAGCAGGAAAATTCACTTCCGTAGTCGACTCCCACTAAGAGAGAGAGAGAGAGAGAGTGAGAGAGAGTAAGAGACTGGGGGAAATCTGTTGGTATGAAGTGAGAGTGAGTGCCTGGTGGGAGAAAGAGAGTGTGGGTGAGTGGTGAGTGCAGTTACAGTTTGAGTGTTGAGGTAGGTCTGGTGCGACGGCGGCATCAGCAGACGATTTGAGTACCCGCTGGTGCTGATGGGTGAGTGGTTCTTGGTGCGCATGTAAACACAGGATCTCCCTCCCCCAGCCCAGGCAGCATGGTGCTGCACCAGTAGTGGGCTGTTGGTCCTTAGCCGCTTGGAGTAAAATATATGTACTTTTAATAGACAGCGCATATTGTTTGCGTTGAGTTCCGAGCGTGGCCCGGAGCAGGTGGATGGGGAGGAAGTAAAATGGAGGGCAATCATTTTAACGAGCTGTGACCGAGGTTGCATGGAAGTGCAGCTTCGTAAGTCGTTCGGATGCATTCGTTGCCGTCGTCGTCGTTGATGCAGTCTGTTCGGCTGTAATCGGCAAACGGAGGGGCCGCACTTGTGCATAGTATGCAACATGGGCGCATCGCTTCCTGGTTCTCGTCGTGGTCGTCTTCGTCGTCGGTGCTCCCCGAGTGCGGTGTTGTGTAAAGTTTGTTTTTTCCTTTAGCGCCTGATGGTGGCAGACCGGCAGTAGATCGACTCCTGCTAGTGCTAGTGCTGACTACAAGAGGGCGCTAGGGTGTGAGCAGCTTACCAACCATGTGCATTGGAACACGACCAACTCACAGTAGCTGGCTCGGGTTGGATGTATTGGTGAGTAAATAGGGATGCAGAAACGATGGAAGCCGCTCGTCTTCCTGCTGCTGACACTGCCGCCACCTGACCCGGTCCCGGTAACTTTTGTAATTGTTGTGTGCGCTTTTCCCGATCGCTTCCGTGTGGGATTGCCGATGTTTATGTGCAGTCCTATTTTTTTTGCTGTTGTTGTTGCTCTATGCTAGGGGTAGTGCACACGAATGAGTGAGAGCGCCCAATCATCATTTTCCAAGCTGAGTGCGCTCCGACGACGAAACGAGGAAGTAGTTGGCAGCCAGCATCGACTACAGTGTTTTTACATACATCCAGGCGTCGTTGGTCGTATCGGCAGAGCGCCGCACTGTATGCAATCGCGCCAAGTCCCGGAGTGTGTCGTTAGTAAAATGGGAGAATTCACAGTACATTTAAAGTAATGTTGTGTCCAAGTCATTATTTAGTGCATCGCGAGATTCCAAGCCGTAAGGTCGAGTCCTTTTCCTGGTTCCCGGTTTTTATTGGTAGTGCGGGGTCCCAAGCTGTCAGTTCAGATCAGACCGTCCGTTGGTGCTTGTTTTCCATCGGGTTACACAAAGGTACCGCAGCAGTTGCAGCAGCTCGGTGCAGCCAGATAGCATCCTCGTGGATGCATTTCCTGTTTGGACGCCAACCGGTGCAGAAGTCAATCGCGTGACGCTCTCCGTGGTGTGAATTTAGGCTGAAGTAAAAGTATTTCTCTGTCGTAGACATTGTCGTGTCCGCTGACTTGGTGAATATCGGTGATAGTGATTGTAACTAGTTACAGCTAGTAAAAGGCGTAAAGAAAAAATAGTTTGGCTCAGATTTAGACGCACTTGATTGCAGTGGGGCTTTCCTTCAGCAGTAAGTGCCGGTCGGTCGGTGTTGATTCGTATCCTTATTCCGTCGTTGTCGTCGTCTTTTTCCATGTGTGTCGTGTATGCGTGTTATATAATTGGTGTCGTCGTCGTCGTCGTTGTTGTGTAGAAAAGTGCATCCTTTCGCAAATTTTCATAACCGTTAGTTGTACTTTTGCAGTTTGAGGGAAAAAACAGTGACTACCTTTAGCCGAAAGAAAATTTGTGTCAAGCAGTGTCGGTTGGGAAGAAGTAAAAATTAAAAATACAACTGTGAGCAAGTGCTAGAAGGCAGTGAAGAACCCCATCTGAAAATACAGTGGCCAAGTGTTAATAAACCCCCCAATTGAAACCATCCTCCAAGCCAATTCAGTGACTGTGTGAAAGTGAATCAAAATCGAAACAAAAATAAAGTCCCGCAAGAGCCGCCGCAAGGGCATCCCATTGAAAAACGGGACTCCGGAAGCCCTCAACCTCGACTCATCATCGTTGCAGTCGTTCACCGACCTAGTCGCTGCCTCCGTCGTCGAGGGCAAGGTAAGCCAAAAGCGTTGATGAACAAACTGCACTTGAGCCTGAGAAGGAGCTCTCTTGTAAATGAAAATCGAAATTTCAACCAGCTTTCTTCTCCATCTGAGCCAACGTGTAAAGTAGCAATACGAACAGCAGTGCCTATTCATAAAACTCCTGTGTGTCCTGAATGCAATGCACCGCGTTGCAACTGCATCAGTGCCGTCCTCGTTCCACACGTAATAGTCCGAAAGGAAAAAAGTAATTTCCTTTCCCCGCCAAAGCCCCATCTGAATTCAACTTGTAAATATACACACTCTCCCATCGTTCCGCCACTGAAGAGGGAGACTGCAAACCCACCCATCCTTCTTCTGGGGGGAAACGGTTTCAATGACACAGTCATTGAGAAGCGAAAAAACCTCAACAGTCAGGTCGAAGTCAGTGAAGAATCATGCCACCGTGGATGTAAAACGGGGAAAAAAAATCGCACAAACCTCCTAAAAGAAGAGCGAAGCGACGACGGCGACGGCAGAGACGACGTCATCATCGTCCTTATCGTCCTGGTGGCGTCGTCGTCGTCGTCGTTGTTAGTTGGTAGTTACCAACGAGCACCGGCGACGTTTACGACGGTCGACTCCGACGATGACGACGGCGACGGATCTCTGCTAGTTCGAAATCGGTTTCGGAACGAAAAAGTGCTGTAGTTTTTCCCCTGTTTTTGCTATCAGCAGCAGCGAAAGCACCAACTTCGGAAATTGCAGCAGAGCGTCGCGTCGGCATCGCACACATTCCGACAGTTGTAAAGCAAACGCTGTAATGGGAGGATGTGCCGCTGCGTTGCAGCTCGGTGCTTTGGTGGGATTTTGGTTTTTCGAAGGAATGTGTTTTCTTAGGCAATGATTTCGGTTTGCTTGGGAAATTTTTATGAAAATCAGATTTTTTTTGGGGCATTCTGGACTAATAAGTTTGGCACTTTTTTATGCGTCAAATTTCGACGGGTCAAATTTCGCCTAAAAAATTCAACCATTTGAATCTTTCATAAAGTTGAGATATTTAATATGTCAATCTCAAGTATTGGACTGTGTTGAATTTCGGAGGAAAATAAAACTCTTTAGTTCATGAAATATTTGAACGTTTTGCCAGATTGCTTTGAAAATATTGCATCCAGCGTTATAATGTTCAATGTTGGTTCACAACTGATCGATCAATCTTTTGCTGGGTCATTAAAAATACTCTTAAATATTTTCTAAGTTATAAATCTACTTATATAGACACCACATCTTAAAATCTAACATTGAACTTTGCGTGGAATTTTTTTCAGAATAATGTTTGTAACGCCGATTTGTTCTCATACAACAGTTAGTCTGATATAATGTTTCCATTTCAGTTGATGGCTCTTCCTGGGATTGTTTTGGGAATCGGGAAATATTTAGATTTGAATCTCCGAGCACAGTAAATTAGACTATACCAATGCAGATGTTATCTTTGTCCGCTTTCGTCACTCTACTGGACGAAATATTTGGTCATAAAAGCTTGAAGCTAGAATGTTTATTTTTAGACTTCTGCTCAAAGATTTAAAAAGTATGTAATAGTTAAACCACTTAATTTTAATATTTTTACTGCCATCGAAAAAAAAAAAAAAAAAAATCCGAGCTGCCGAGGATTTTGTTGCCAACCTTTTCCGGAATTTGTTTTACGACTAGCCTCGGGAGTTTCTTTTGACCAAGAAGATATTTTTGAATTTTCCTAGAAGTCTCTGAAAAACATTCCAAGACATTTTCATCTGATTTCATCGGCAGCTTCTTTCAGAAATTCTTCTGACTTCCACGGTAACTTCTTTTGATTTCTGCTGGAAGCTTCATCCAACTTCTTTAGCAAGTTTCATAAATCATTCATTGGAAGCTTCTATTCAACTGTATTTACTCCAGAAGATTGTTTCATCCGCAGTTTGATTTGACTCCTGTGGCCAAATTCTGGCAACTTCCATCCTAAAATCTTTCTGAAATTGTTTCCTAGGAAATCGCAAAACCTTATTTTTGGTAATTTTCATGAGATAGATTTTCCGGGATTTTCCGGGTAGGAAACACCAGTCTGAAAATCCTTCACCTTTTTGTTTATTTGCTGTCGAGTTCTTCTGAAATTTGTTTAACGACTAGCCTCGGGAGTTTCATGTGACCAAGAAGATATTTTCAAATTTTCCCAGAAGTATCTTTAAACATTCCTAGCCATTTTCATCAGATTTCATCGGAAGCTTCTTCCAGAAATTCTTATGTCTTCCACGGTGGCTTCTTTTGACTTCTGCTGGAAGCTTCTTGAAACTTCTTTAGCAAGTTTCATAAATCATTCATTTGAAGTTTCTATTCCGTTTTTAGCTACCTCATAGGTTTTTTGACATCCCTTGATGTTTCTTTCAACTTTCTTGAGAAGTCTTTTTAGTTTCACTCGAAAATGTTTTCTGATTTCTTCGGCAATTTTTCTGGTCTCCACTGGACATTTCTTCTATCTTCCCTCGGAAAATTTCCTGGAACAGTCTTCCGATTGCCCTTAATTCATTTTTCAAACTGTCTCATCCGAAGTTTGATTTGACTCCTGTAGCAAAATTCTGGTAACTTTCACCCAAAAATCTTCCTAAAATTGTATCCCAGGAAAACGTGATTTTTGGTAAATTTCATGAGAATGGTTTTCCGGTATTTTTGGGTAGGAAACACTAGTCTGAAAAACCTGCACCTTTTTGTTTATTAGCTGCCCCCGATTTGGGCGCCGAGTTCTTCCGGAATTTGTTTTACGAATTTTCCCAGAAGTCTCTCTAAACATTCCTAGCAATTTTCATCTGATTTCATCGGAAGCTTTTTCCAGAAATCCTTTTGACTTCCAAGATAGCTTCTTTTCACTTCTGCTGGAAGCTTCATCCAACTTCTTTAGTAAGCTTCAGAAATCATTCATTGGAAGCTTTTATTCAACCACTTATAACTACTCCAGAAGATTTTTCGACAACCCTGAACACTGTTTTGGACTTCCATCGAAAGTATTTTTGGTTTCACTAGAAAATGTCTGCTCAATTCCTTGACTCAATTCCTGGAATTTTTTTCTGGCTTCCCTCGGAAAGTTCACCTGGAACAGTCTTCCGATGGCCCTTGATTAATTTTTCAAACTGTTTCATCCGAAGTTTCATTTGACTCCTGTGGCGAAATTCTCGTAACTTTCACCCACAAATCCTTCTGAAACGGTTTCCTGGGAAATCGCAAAACGGGATTTTGGTAAATTTCCTGAGAATGGTTACCGGGATTTTCCGGGTAGGAAACACTAGTCTAAAAACCTTCACGTTATTGGCTCTTAGCTGTCCCCGATTTTGGTGCCGTCTTCTTCCAGAATTTGTTTAACAATTAGCCTCGGGAGTTTCTTTTGACAACGAAGATATTTTAGAATGCTCCCGAATACTTCGAAGTCCGTTAAAACATTCCAAGAAATTTTCATCATTTCTTCCAAAATCCTTCTCCAAGGTAACTTCTGCTGGAAGCTTCATCCAACTTCTTTAGTAAGTTTCAAAAATCATTCAGTGGAAGCTTTTATTCAACCACAGAAGATTTTTCGACAACCTTGAACACTTTTTTCGACTTCCATCGATAGTATTTTTGGTTTCACTCGAAAATGTCTTCTGAATTCTTTGGATTTTTTTCAGGCCGCCACTGTGAATTTCTTCTGGCTTCCCTCGGAAAGTTCACCTGGAACAGTCTTCCGATGGTCCTTGATTAATTTTTCAAACTGTTTCATCCGAAGTTTTATTTGACTCGTGTTGACAAATTCTGGTAACTTTCAGCCAAAAACCCTTCTAAAATTGTTTCCCAGGAAATCGTAAACGTGACTTTGGGTAAATTTTCTGAGAATGGTTTCCCGGGATTTTCCGGGTAGAAACTAGTCTGGAAACCTTAACCTTATTGGTTCGTAGCTGCCCCCGATTTTGCTGCCAACTTCTCCTGGAATATGTTTTACGATTAGCCTCTGGAGTGTCTTTTATCTAAGGTAATATTTTCGAATTCTCTCAGAAGTATCTTAAAACATTCCTAGCTATTTCCATCTGATTTCATCGGAAGCTTTTTCCAGAAATCCTTCTGACTTCCACGGTAGCTTCTTTTGACTTCTGCTGGAAGCTTCATTCAACTTCTTTACTAAGTTTAATAAATCATTCATTGGAAGCTTGTAACTTGTAACTACTCCAGAAGATTTTCCGACAACCATGAACACTTTTTTCAACTTTCTCGGAAAGTATTTTTGGTTTCACTCGAAAATGTCTTCTGAATTCCTTGGAAATTTTTTCTGGCCTCCAATGGAAATTTTTTCTGGCTTCCTTCGGAAAGTTCTCCTGGAACATTGTTCCGATGGCCCTTAATTCATTTTTCAAACTGTCTCATCCGAAGTGTTATTTGACTCCTATGACAAATTCTGGTAACTTTCACCCACAAATCCTTCAAAAATGGTTTTCCGGGAAATCGCAAAACGTGAATTTTGGGCAATTTCCTGAGAATGGTTTCCGAAATTTTCCGGATATGAAACACTGCCTGAAAACCTTCACACTATTGGTTCGTAGCTGCCCCTGATTTTGCTGCCGAGTTCTTCCGGAATTTGTTTTACGACTAGCTTTGGGAGTTTCATTCAACCAAGAAGAGTTTCAACAAGGGAGTTTCAAATGCTCCCAGAAGTCTCTTGAAACATTCCTCTGTTTTCATCGGCAGCTTCTTCCAGAAATCCTTCTGACTTCCACGGTAGCTTATTTTGACTTCTTCTGAAAGCTTCATCCCACTTCTTTAGCAAGTTTCATAAATCATTAATTGGAATTTCCTATTCCGGTATTATCTTTATTTTTTTTTAAATTCTTTATTAAGGAGATTTTTAGCCTATGACTAGTTCATCTCCGGAAAACGGAGAGGTCTCAGAATGATTTCCCTCTAAATACATGGTATATTAACATTTTGTTAATAACTTTGGTTGCTGGCTCTTCAACTTATGTGGAAAAAATACCAAAATATAAA